ATGTATCTAGTAAATAGCGTTTTGATCGTGTTGAAATTTTTTTGTGGTATTCTTATAGGAATTGCATTCATTAGGTAAAGGACGCAGGGGAGAACATTCATGGAGATGACATTTACTCTTCCCAACCACCGGAAGTGTGGTTTGTCCCATCTGTGGAGATCATTTTGGATTGTATTCAGTATTTGGGGGAAGTTTACTTGGTATGTATCTGCTATATTGTTAGTAATATTAATACCCAGGTATTTAATGGATTTTGCGTTCCAATGGAATGTGTAATCTTTGCTAAGTTTCACTCCTATTTCCCTATTCATGTTGAGATTGAGGGCTTCACATTTTGTGCTGTTAATTTTAAAGTTGGAATAGGAGCTGTATTCTGTTAAGATCTTCATTAGTGGTTGTGGCGAAAGTAACCTTGCCACTGGTTTTTGGAAGGGCCTGTTTGCCAGCCTCCTGACCTGCGACTATGGCCCTGGGATGTATTGCCCTTCTAGGAACTGATGCGGGCATACTTGATTTTATTATGCTGCTGCTGGCCCTTTAAGAACCATCTGGGGACATACTGTGGAGTTACTGGGTGGCCACCATTTCATGTATCAGAGGCACATGGTGAGAACAATGGATGAAGCACATGGTGAGAACAATGGATGGCGGCCATTTTAACTCACAGACTGTCATACCTGGTGTACCGCGCCATCCCGGTCCCGCCGTCCGTCCTCTCATGTCGGGCGGTGTGGATCGTTGGCGGGCGTCGCACGCGTGCGCCTCCAGGGGCACGCGCGCATCTGGGAGAGCACCCGGGGATGTGCGCGCGCGCACAAGGTAACCGGCAGGGATGACGTGGACTCCAAATTTAAAGGGAAAGTGGCCTATATACCTCCTTCAATTCTGTCCCTGCCTATCAGTATTCACCTTGCCCTATATTAACCTCCTTCTGACATCACTTCCTTGACCTGTCGTGGTTTATTATAGCCCGAGAGTGCGTTCTGAGTAGTTGTCTTTTCTCTGGTTCCTGACTTCAGCTTGTTTATTGGTTATTCTTATTTCTGGCTCCCTGACCTTGGCTTTGTCTATTTCGCTCTCCCGTATCTCTGTATTCCTGACCTTGGCGTGTTTGACTATTCTTATCTCTCGTTCCTACGTTAAGTCCGGCCACTTTAAGGTCCAGTAATACGTCTATCTGTGTTCACCTTTATTGTTCTCTGGTTTGCGTGTTGGGGAGTGTTAACCTTGACACAGACACTGTTTGGACTTTTCTACACGGTGCCATCTCGCCGGTATTTGGTGCACAAAGACATCGTGCAGTAGTTTTAAACTATACAACAGGGGACACATTATACAGTAATTATTTTTCATGTATATGTTCTGCGGAATCTGCATTAAACTGTATCTTCCAAACTACTGAACGGATCTGGGTGAATTTTGGATATGTGGTTCACCCAGATCCCCCGGTTCCGAGGACTTTTTATGGGGTTATTGCATGTTTTGGGGTCCCTGTGATATGTTTTATAATACTGTATTTCTCTGCCTGTGATAATATATATTAACCATTGTATTCAGTAATCATATCACAGGCAGAGGGGAGGATTTTGTGTGGGAGTGTCTGTGTGTATTGTACGGATTGATTGGTTGTATTTCAAAACCCTATGGGCAGTATTATGTTTGTGGATTGTGAATAAAAGTGGCTGTATGTGCCAGTATAGTCAGTTCTACTTCACCCTCAATTTGGAGTCCTGTCTCTTATTGGGGGAATCTGCTACAAGGGATTGCTATGCTTTGCATATCCCTTGCTATAATCACTCCTAAGCTCTTTTAAGAGCTCGTTCCTGCTTCGCTCTGAAGGAAGAGAGGTTCGACCTGCGGTGGTTGTGGTGTTGGCTAGAGTGCTTGGAATCCTCAAGAAGCACTAGGAGCATCCATCAACGGAAGTACCCAGTCGGGGTGCCAGGTGATCCGTTACAGAGGTGTTAATGAATGGAGGGGTTTCGTGATGGTGAAAATGAGATCGTCAGCGAATGCTGCTACTTTATACGAATGTGAACCTATCGTTATGCCCTATATATTCCCGGTAGTCCTAACCACCTGAAGTAGAGGTTCCAATGCTAATATGAACAATAGGGGTGACAGAGGGCATCCCTGTCTAGTTTCATTTGTTATGGCCAGTGAGTCTGAGAGTATACCATTCACTTTTATCTGGGCTTGGAATAAATAGCACTAATCAAGGTCTGCCACCTAGGTCCAAAACCCAGGATGTCAAGTGTCATTTTTAGGAAATGCCAGTCCACCCTGTCAAATGCTTTCTCTGCGTCAATTGCTAACAGGATGGACGGCACCTCTCTCCCCACCACCCACTGAACCAAATCCAGGACTTTAGTAGTGTTGTCCCTAGCTTCCCTATTTGGTACAAACCCTGCTTGGTCTGGGTAGATCAATTCATTCAAGAATGGTCTTAATCTCATTGCCATCATTTTAGTTAAAATCTTGATATTGACGTTTATCAGGGATATAGTCCTATAGCTACCACACATTTCTGGGTTTTTCCCAGCTTGAGCTTCCAGATTAGATTGGGGTAGTGAAGTGTTTTGGGTAAGAGAGTTCAAAGTCTCCAGGAGGTGGGGTGAAAGTTCATCTATGAAAGTTTGATATGTCGCTGAAAACCCATCTGGGTGGTGTATTATATGAGGTTTTGCTTATAACTAGTTGTAGTTCATCCATCGTGAAAGGTATATCCAACGATTGGGCATCTATATTTGAAAGCTTTTTCTGTGTGTGTTTCTCTGAATGTTGTCTCATAACCTCTTTGTCAGGAGGAGTATGATGTAGGTTATATAGAGATTTATAGAATTTGCTAAATTCTTCAGCGATATCTTCAGCTGTATGTGCCAAAGTGCCGTCCGCCCTTCTCATTTTGGGTATATAAGTTCGTTGTTGCTCCTTGAGCGCAGAAGCTAAGAGTCTTCCGCATCTATCTCCATGTGTGCAGTATCGCTGTTTGGACCACAGCATAGCTTTTTGATCTTAGTGACATTAGTTTAGCAAAATCCGATTCTAAAAAAAGTTTTTCTTTTTTGCGGATTCTTCTATTGTTTTAATATCTTGAATTCATTTCTTTCTAGTTTTGGATTTCTCCCTTTTCAGGTGGGACCCCCATTTAATTAATTCCCCTCGGATGATGCATTTATGGGCTTCCCACTGTATAGTGGATGAAGTGTCTGGAGTTTTATTGGACTCAAAGTATTGGTGGATGGACGTTTCTATGGCTTTTCGTATCTGTATATTTAGTAATAAGTGGGGGTTAAGTTTCCATTGGTATTTTGTCATGGGTACTGTTGGTATGGATATCCACAAATGAATAGGGGCATGGTCAGACCATGTAATATTGCCAATAGTTGCTCTGTGTACGAGAGATAAGTCTTTATGTATTGCAAGGAATAGATCAATGCGTGAGTATGTATGGTTCGGGTTAGAATAGAATGTGTAATCTTTCGTGTTGGGGTTTATCATCCTCCAACAGTCTATAAGTTGGTGGTCATGTAGTATTTTTTTCATCTGAGTTCTTGCTGAAGCCAGATGTGCTGGGCACTGTGATGTACTATCCCATTGGGCATCCAAGGACACATTGAAGTCCCCTCCTATAATTATAATACCCTCAGCCGACTTCTTGACCTTTGTTAATATGCATCTCAGGGCGGCACATTGGTGAGTGTTTGGAAGATATAAATGAACTAGTGTGATCGGAGTACCTCCCATGTGTCCAATATCTTGTCCGATATCTGCTGCGACAGAGTAAAGGGGACCTGAGCCCCTATTAAAATGGCTAGTCCTCTAGATTTCTTAAGTTTGAAGTTATTATAGAAACTCAGTGGGAATTGCTTATGCTGTAATTTTGGAGCTTCCCTTCCCCTAAAATGGTACTCTTGTAAAAATACAATGTCCACCTTCATTTTATGAAAATCCCTCATTGCCATGTGTCTTTTGTCTGGTAAATTAAGACTTTTAACATTGTATGAGATTATCTGCAGTTGTTTGTCCATATTTTGTCTTTTCAGTCAGAGAACTGTAAACCAGATGAATGACAGTCAGCGTAGTTTCTGTAAGGAATAGTTCACTTTCTTATCCTGAACAATGTAAACCAATAATAAATAACTATTTACAATAACAAACTTAAAAGATTGGTACTGGTAGCAATACGTTTAGACGCGGTCGCGTCAGTATAGGAGTCAGTGTGTGTCCCTTTTTCCTCCTGCTCAGTTGGTTGAGAGGAGTTGGGAAAAATAAACTTAGTGTTGTATAATGATAAGGTTAGTACACTGCTCTGCCCCAACTATGTTGGGTGAAGGAGTGAATTACTTCTAAAGAATTCTTATGTTCAACTTTGAGCACTTTTCGTATCTGAAAATGCGCTATTGATATGTTGGAAAGTACGTGGGTGATTGTCTTATAGCGCTTCGGCGTTCCCGGCACCCAGAATTTAGTTATAGTTTAAGTGGGTATACGACCTGGTTACCTCGAGTGAGGGTTGTTAATATGAGCCATTAGCGTATAGGAAGTGATCAGTATCAGTATTTTTGGGGGTTGTCTGTCACATTTTGCGGACTGGTACTACATGTCTACCACTTACAAGAGTGGGTTCATTGGTCTGCTATATATTAATCACATAGATACCTTAGTATCATAATCATACTTAAACATCAGGTAGTAGTTAACATAACATTTCCCACTCTAATCTCGCCCCCTCCCCTCAAGCAGATTTGTTATCATTACATGACAGTTTAACAATCTCGTTCCCCAGAGTCCCCCACCCCCAATTGTAATGGGCCCAGTATTTGCCCTGTTGTGTCGGATGTTATGGCTGGGGGGCTCTGGTACGCGGGCCGAGGGTCTCTGTGTTTGGGAGAATATGTGGGGGAATAAGAGAGTTGTGGTGAAGTGTGTTGTGGCCATATATTTACCATGTATTGGCTCCCTTTCATTTATCCCTTTCCCTATTTATACGATACCCATTATGTAATAAACGTCCAGTTTGCAGACTGGGTCTGAAAGTTGCCTGTTTGAGGATTTAGTCCTGGTATAATGCAACACTGATTAAGATGCTGGAAGCTCTCTTCTTGTTCTTGTATTCGGTTCTTGTGAGGGCTGTCTGGACGTGGGCCTTTTGGATCCGGCAGGGGATCGTCTTCGTTGTCTCTGAGGTTGCGGTACAGTTGCTTGATAGGAGTTCTCTGTGTACCAGTCCAGTATAACTATGTGAGGTAAACCAAGTTTACAAAGACATTCCGGGGCATCCTCTGCTGACCTTAGGGAGACTGTGTTACCGTCTTTAATCACGGACAATGAGAATGGATATCTCCATCGGTATTTTATATTGCGGTCTTGCAGCATTCCTGTGATGGGGCGTAATGATCTGCGGCCTTGTAAAGTGGACCAAGCCAGATCCAGAAATAGTTGTAGTTGAGTATTTCCCTGTGTCATCACTGGTGAATCCTTTGATCTCAGAGTCTCAGAATCTCTTCTTTTAATGAATAATAGTGGATTCTGCATATAACATCCCTCGGTTTATCTTGTGGGAGGCCTTTTGGTCTCAGGGCCCTGTGTGCTCGGTCTAGTAGGACAGGAGTATCCGCTGGCCTCTGGAGGATGTTGTTAAATAACATCTGTAATGTGGCCTGTAGGTCCTCTGAAGCTTCCTGTGTTTCCGGTAGGCCTCTCATGCGTAAATTATTCCTCCGGCTCCCATTTTCTAAGTCTTCAAAGTTTCTGGCCATATTAATATATTTTAGTTCCATTTCGTCCTGTCTTGTTTCCAGAGCTATAATCGCCCCCAATGTTTGTAAGTTTTCATCTTCCAGTTCTCCTACTCTTTGCTCCACATGGTGCACGTCTCTGGCAATGTCAGATATCTTCTCTTGCATCGATTCCTCCAATTTTGCCAGCATAGATGTGAGGTCTGTTTTGGAGGGTAAGTTCTGCAGTAGCTCCCTAATTTCGGAGTCTTTGATGATAGTAGATTGTTCCAAAGATGCTGGGCTAGGAGGAGGTGAGTCAGATTCTCGCGGGGCCGCCACCATATTGCTATCTTCGACGTGTGTCAAAGCCTTTACCTTTTCTCTGAAGTACCTGTCCAGATCTCCCGCTTTCTTGCTGGAGCCTTGCTCAATATGGTCTGGACAGGTTGTGGATTTCTTTTTGTTCCCCATCGAGCGTTTTGAAGTGATGTTGCTGGGTCTTTGCTGTGTAGGCGCTGGAAGCTCGACAGCAATGCGACCGCTCACATGGAGAATCAGGACATGCCCCCATCCCTGGTGCGCTTATTTCATACATTTTACATGTTACTTGCAATATTTTGCACAGTCACTTCATATATTGTCTAACACCAACATCACTTTCTAATTCACAAATTCACATATTTTGCACTTTAGATTTTAGCACAATGCCACTTTTATTAATGGACGCTAAAATTTTGACTGCATTAGCACTTTACCCAGTACACTTATTGATAGCATTCTGTCATCCTCATTATATGTATACTCACAGTATATATACTGTAAGGGTTTAGTACACGAGTACTTTTTATTGAGCAAACACACTTTCTATCTTTCCTCAGAAAGTCTTCTTATGTGTATTATGTGGATGGTCCACCAGGGTTTTATTTTTCTGCATCCTTATTTATATTTAAGGGTATATTGCCAACACTGTGTTTTTCTAGATGATATTATGTTCTGATGTTTACTTATAAATGCATTACTTGAGGTGTATATACTCTCATGTTTTTTCTAGAACACATAACTTATTATTTTCCCCTTTTATTAAAACAGCTGTGTTTTCTGATGTGTCCCGGCCATCATGGAAACATACTGAGGCTGATGTCAGCAGATGGGTGGGTCTCTCCTATCCTGAAGATTCTTAGAGTCTCTTTAGGGCAGGGGTTCTCAACCCAGTCCTCAAGGACCCCCTACCGGTCCAGGATTTAGGGATAACCTGGGTATGTCTAAAACACCTTAGACTCCTGTTCTAGGGCATCCGTACATGAGGGGTGAACCAATAGCTGATTGGCATCTCTTGTTCCCATAGTTTCGCAAATATGCTCCTTAGGTTCATTGGATGAAACCCTTCCTGTTGACAGGGGCGGGATTTCCTGGTTGCCCAGGCCACACCGGACAAACAGCTGATTGAGATGCTGCTTAAGGGGAGAGTTAGGATCTTTGTTTGTCCTATATAAAGCTTGTATCAGTGCAATAGTTTACTTGTGATGTCCTTATGAAAATTCCCTAGAAGGACTGAAACGTTGACTTGCTGGAATATGTCAAATAAAGAACATACCTGAATGGAAACCTTGGTGGGCCGGTATTTTTGTAGATATTTATGAATTTGTGGCTGGCACTAGGTTTTTATTTTTTATTTTCACTGTTGGAGTGCAAAAGTTTGGAATTGTGTGTGTGTGTGTATATATGTGTGTGTGTGTGTATATATATATATATATATATATATATATATATAAAGCCAAGAAATACTAAAGAGGAAAAGACATTTTGGACTGCTTGTCACTAATAGTTTTAATGACTCCTAATAAGTAAGTTCAGCAGCCCAGTGCCCACCATCTGATTTAAAGTGTAAAGTGGCTAGTTACACAGTTGTGAAGCTCCATACTGCAGGACTAGGGCTGTTACTCAGATTCTGCTTTTAATTTGTAATGATTGTTGCATCTGTTAAACATGTCATTGGCTACTTTTTTACTCCTTAGTATTCCTGCAAATTACTATTATTTGCAGCTGCATAGATAACAAAGAGTCTATAAGTATCCTGCTGCATTAACAATTTATATACTGTTTCATAATATCAGCAACATACACTACAAAGCTGTAGTTGTCATAGCAAGAGCACTACTGAAGATGAAATTAGAAAAAGGAGGCTAGAGAGAAGGGGTTAGACAGAAAAATCTGGGGCATTATACAGAGACATCGAATGGTGTGGAGATCTCAGTATTTCAGCTCTGTGCAATCTATCACAGTGACCCTGGCTGAGTGGATAGTTATATTATCTCCTTATTGTGCCCAGCTCTGTGTGTTATCTCGGTATGATACTCAGCTCTGCCTTTTGTATGGATATTTCTGTAGTACCAAGCTCTGTGTGTTTAATGGGTATCGATATATAGTGCCTAGTTCTGTGCATTGTGTAGGTATCTTTTTATTATGCTCAGCTCTGTGTATTGTATTGGTAACTCTGTATTGCACTGGGTACTTTGTAATTATATAAGTATGTTTGGATTGTACCTGGCTGTGTGTGGGAAATATCTGTATTGTACTCAGTTCTGTTTATTGTATAGGTATGTCTGTATTGTTCCTAACTTTGAGTATTGTATGAATATCTCTATATTATACCTAGCTCTGAGTATTTTATGGATAACTCTTTTATAGGTATCTCTTTATTATGCTCAGCTCTGTGTATTGTATTGGAAATTCCTTACAGTACTGGGTTCTGTAATTATATGGGTATTTCTGTATTGTATCTGGCTCTATGCATTGTATGAGAAATCTCTGTATTGTACTCAGTTCTGTTTATTGTATAGGTATGTATGTATTGTTCCTAACTTTTAGTATTGTATGGATATCACTATATTATAACTAGCTCTGAGTACTGTATGGATACAGCTGTATTGAAAAGGGAGTACCCTTAAGGGTTGAGTAGTGATGTTAAGTGGACAGATACCACAGGTCAGAAGATAATGGCTACAGTGTTAAAGATTGGAGTCAGATTCTGTTGGAGGAGTCTGGTGCCTTGCCATCTCAAAACTTCACCAGCCACCACTGGGGGGAACCACCATGGGACGTTTTAGAGTGAAACTGGTTTATTGAGGGAAACACAGTTTTTTTTCAAATAGAACACAATGTTTACATAACAAGGACTCTGGACTATGTTGGAGATATGGGATTGGCAGGGTAGCCAGTTTAATTATTTTGTATGCATATACATAAATATTTTTTAGGGAGACATAAATTATTTGCCAACTAATTTCAGTATCACACCAACTGCTAAACATCCATCCCACCTACTCCTTCTCTCTCATTTCTTACAGAAAATCAGGTTTGTGGATTTTCAACTTACTGTTTATTCTCTCTCCAGATACAGACATGCACCCTGACTCTCTTCAACAAAATCAAATATTTAGAAAAATATTTAAAACAAAAATTGTTAACACAGCAAGTAGATATCATATCACATTTAACTGAATGTTGTGCACACAGAGTTTCATGATACCATGTAGTTGTCAAAAATGTATATATCAACATTTTAAGTTCACTAAAACAATGCATAATAATTTTTTTCTATACATTGTTATATTAAATATGTATTTTTTTTTTATTATTAATTCATAACATACAGGCAATCCTTAAAGTTTTCTTTCAGATCCTGTAACAAACTTTACATACTAAATACAAGTGTCTGATCTACAGTGTTTATGTAGAACTGAGATGGATAAAAGTTCAAAACTAAAACGTGTTTGCAGTATAAATTTTTGGGAGATACGACCTCTTCATGTCATATAGATGCGTTTTTGTTTTTTTCTTTAGACAAAATATAAATGACCCTAAACAGAATTGTTAGATGTAAAATCTGTATATGCTATGTTAGATGTACTAGTTCTTTACAATGCATGATTTTTTTATGATTACAATGCAGTACTTTTTAATGAAGCCTGTGTATATGAACCTTGAACATCAGGAAGTAAAGCGTGATCATAAATTTGCTGTCTTAACTCAGAATATCTCCTAAGCATGTTTACCAGATGGATCCTTGCATCAGAAGTGGAAGGAAGGCCAGTCATTATTCAAAGTGAAATCCCATGACAGTTTGGCAGGTCTAGTCATCTCTGACTATTAGTTCCATTAGTCTTTCATCTTGACTTTGGCTGGCATAGCATGTAATGATGATAAAGGGCAGCCATCTGGCTAGTTTGCTCCCGTGTCACACTTACACACAGTAAAGTTACAGATGTTTTTGGAGCCTTTCTACATAGATTGTTTTTGGCATGTTTTGTGCACTGCATGCCAACATCTTGGTAGAACTGTCTCTGGCAATAAAGTTTGTCTTAATATGCTATAATCTGTTATTCACATTGTTTTTCACTTCAGAATCAAACATATTGTTTCAGCTCCCAGTGAGATTATAGTTTAACATGCTGTTAACAGAAATGATTTGGCATGCAGTAACAATAATGCAAAATTATAAATAAATAAATATATAGGAAAGCCACGGATGGGGGCTGAAACGTCGATCAGTTTTTAATATAGAAATGAAATAAAGGAATTTGACAATGTGAAAAGACCGTGAGTGCAAGCCTTTTACTATTTATATAATATTTTTGGCATTGGCTACAAATGCACCCAGCATTTAAAAAATATTATAGTCAGTGTGCAAGGACAAGTGAGGACATTATATATATATATATATATATATATATACAAAAAAACAAGTCCTGAGCTCACTCCCATTACTCCTGGCGGCAGCAACGACCACAGTACTCATCAACCCCAATACATAAACTAAAAAACAAAGAAAAAGTTACCTGAGCTCTCTCCTAAATCCCTATGTATATTTAAACAAATGAAGGTCATTTAGTTACTCCAATGACCATTGGAGGGAATGCCCGCCTGCCAATGTCAAGGCAGACCCCCTCAGGTGGGTCCTACACTGACCTTTCACCTTGCTTCCTTGAGCTTCTGGCAAAGATATCGCTAATGAGACAGAGAGGGGTATTTTTTACATACACCCCTACATACTTGTTAACCCTTAATAGGGAACACATGGGATGGGTTGCAGCATTGTAACATAGCTGTGTGATACAAAAAGTGAATACAAATACAAAAAAACAAGTCCTGCGCTCACTCCCATCACTCCTGGGCGGCAGCAACGACCACAGTATACATCAGCCCCAATATATACAGTAAAAACCAAAGAAAAAGTTACCTGAGTTCTCTCCTAAATCCCTATGTATATTTAAAAAAATGGAGGTCATATATAGGAAATAGGAGTAGGTGATAGGAGTAGGTGATTTATGGAGTCCCACAAGGGGAAACTAACATCAGGAGAGCACCACTGTAGAAGAAATTTGAAAATCTAATACAGATTTTTTTGTGTACCTCCTTTTTTATCTCTCTTGCTAACTTCTCACTTGATCTGTGACTAAAACTACACATTT